CGCCTCCAGGTATTAAATTCACATTACGCATATATTCCACGTTGTTGCGTTCCGTGCATCCGAGAAGCATCGATAATCTGTAAGTTGTTGACCAGAATGTCGATAAAATAAACCTTAACTGGGCCTCATAAAATATGACGATAATTATGCCCGTCTAATTCGATTCTCTTGGCTGCTCCTATGTTGAAAGTTTTCCAGACATAGACGAGTGTTCACCGATCGAACCCAGGCATATGTGTTCAATGATTTCGCAGACATGCATCAATACAGTGGGCAGTTACAAGTGTCAAGTGAAAGCCGGTTACAAAGGTTTGTCATTTCTTCACCAGTGCGTTCTCTCGACTGTTCATTTGCATCGTTTCGAATTATAGAACTGATGAACGGCACCGTCATCGAGATCGATGAGTGTATCGAAGCGCATGGCAACGCCATCTGCGAGGCGAAGAACGCCAAGTGCGTCGACAAACTTCTCGACTTCTTCTGCGTCTGCGATGTTGGATTTCGCTTCATGGACGGTTTGTGTCAAAGTAAGCAGACGACCCTCGAAGGGCACTGCACTCGTGTTCCTCCTTCTCTGCTTTAGATATAGACGAATGCGTCGAGAAGCTGGATAACTGTAGCTCGAATATGGTATGCCTGGATACTATAGGTTCTTATCTCTGTATGTGCCAATCTGGCTTCGACCTTGTGAGGAGGAACGGCATGAGCATATGCAGCAGTAAGTATTTCAGCCTGTCCGTTCGAAGTTCTTCAGCAACGGCTACCGCGTACCTCAACCATTAACACGCAGCAGCACTTGCGCGTTTGGAACCACCGTATTTTAATAATCGAAGGGTTTCGTTCTCAACAGTGAAATCATGATTGACCTCTTCATGCATGAATGTGCTAAATTTCTTACTATGTCAGACCTGTTGTTCTTTTTGTCACTGTTGCATAAGACTTACAACACTTACAGATTGTCATGGTTAAGATTTTCCATATTTTATCATTGGCAATCTCATCTCATTTAAGATTGATACTGCGTATTGTTCACTGTTGCAGCAAGTCTCATGTTCCTCGTCTGAAGCAGTTCCTCTTCAAGAGCATGTTTGCCAGTTTCATGGTGTCTTCCATGGTATCTGCAACTAATTAGTGCTTCCAAGAACAGTATAAGTCAAGCAGATGCATGACCTTCTTGCTCGTGAACAAGAAATGCGAGATATATGAATCTCATCTCGCTTTTATTTTTTTTCGCTTCACGTTTTCTTCTTTTAAGTGCATATTGTTTCTCGTACAATTGCCACGTTTCGTGCAAGCACAATTTTTGAAGCTCATACAGATATGACGCCGTAAAAGACTTGAAGCTGATAGATCTTCAGATTCCGTGGGTAGCTGCACACAAAAATCTGGAATCCACTGTCAATCATGGAATCATATGTCATATCAGACTGCTTTCCCATAATACCTTAGCAAATCGTATGTATATCCCTAGAACGTTTTTTCTGAAAGTCATGCTGATTACAGTAAAAGTATAATCGCAATTGAGAAGCATAAGCATAGGAACTGATGCAAAATAAAACGAATTAATTCATCTCTGAAGTATATCTGAATGCAGAGTAATTTATGAACGTCACTCATTCAGCTTTCTAGAAAGGCACCTTGGATGTGTGAATAACAAGGAATGCCCGGAGCACTCATCGTGCAACGAACAGGTCGGAATCTGCAACGCTCAACCTGGCTATGAACTCGTAAACAATCCGAACCTTGGCTGGATTGCTCAAGGTACGGTAATTTGCAACGGATAAA